ACCACTGCCGTTTTTTTTACAGACAGAATAAAGCTAGACAGGCAATGTCATTTAGCGGCAATAGTTTTTTTCTTTCTAAATGTGACTTTTGCAGAAATATATCATACAGGTATGCAACTTCCCATGTGGGTTTAAGCCATTCCCCAAGCATATTATTTAAAGGAATTGTATATGTTTAATGTTGTCTTTAAGCCGCATTAAAAGATCTGCCCACCACTGAACGGTATTTTCATTTTTTTTTTCCATTGGAACATGTCCTCCATGGCAGTGCCCAGCAAATGATGCCCCCTTCTTAACATATGCTTGCAAACTGACCTGAAAAATTCTCCCATAGACTTTAATGGGGTTTCAGATTTTCTGCTGGGTTTGGTGAATGTCCACTGAATTGAACGTTGTTGGGTTCACTCATCAGTAGTACTCCTTCCTTGTTCCCCTGCTGCTCCATTCTGGTGTCAGGAATCATGAGAAAGGCCATATGCAACAAACCCCCTTGTCAGAACTCAGCTAGGTCTATGGCCTCCATTACCAGCCCCATAAGACTGCACTGTGTCATTCAGGAGGTGCCTAGTGTTATCATCTAGGAAAGGGGTAGTAGGTCACATGCTTATCCATACTTTGGAAGTTCAGGATATTTCACCTGCACCTAGCAGCCAAACAGAATGGCTTGGGGGCAAGGAAAAGTGAGTATATGCTGCTGGGGGGGGGGGCTTAAATGAATGTTTTATTTTGCCCTGCACTGGAAGTAAATTGAACATTTCTCCACATTTTTTTCTGCATTATGTGAAATTCAGCAGAAAGACACCACCATATGACAATGTATAACGTGAGGCACTTGGCCGCAACTGGGATCCTGGTAAAAATATCTTGTTACTGGATATGTGATCAGATTCGACTTTGAAACACCACACAATGAAATATCAGTCTTTGGTGCAGCAGACCTTTAAATAATGCCTATTATATCTTAGCTGGGCATGTCCCATCTTAGAATCTTTAAAAACAGGTACTCAATGCTTGACAAGCTTATTTAATATAATCCTTTTAAAAAGCTGGGAAAAACCATGCCATGTCATACATACACTATATTAGATTAATGCGATTCTCCATAATCAAATGTTTATTTGATAACATACTGAATTGAAACAAAACGTTAAAAAAGTTGAGAACAGTCAATAGCTGTATTTTAAACATCTCATCCAGCACATCAAATATAAGTAAGAAAGTCACTAGAAATTCAAAATATCATAGAACCTTTGGATATATCATTTGATATAACAGACTATTTTTGACATTATGTAGGCATTATGACAATCCCAGAGTATTAGGTTGGTCATTTGATCTGTATGTAACACAGAATAGAACAGAATGTTTTTAAGGCAGATGTCAAAATTAAACCATTGCAGGTCCACAAACGCAATGTTTTTGGTGATTTATTTTGACAGTTTATAATTAACTGATAAAGCTGATCTTGTATCAAGATGGTCTTTTTAAATGTTCTTTCTGACTTGCAATTACCAATATAACAAACCTAAGGATTTAAATTTGGCTTTGGAGAGCCTATATCAGAGCATATTACACACTGGTTTGGCTGTCCATATGTATTTAAATTGATTAAAATATATAAAAAGGTCATCTTTAGGAATATAAAAAAAAGTATACCGGTAATATTTCTGTTAAAGTTGTGATAGAAAATATTTTTCTTATCCTTCGAGCCAAACTCCAGACAATTTATATTTAGTTTTGGATTGAGTAGGGAACAGTTAAAACATCTGTCTGTTTTTACTGCTGTCTGTGCTCCCACTGGGAAGATTTCCCCTCACTTCCTGTCCTGGTGACAGGGAGTCAAAAAGACAGCAAGTAATAGGCAAGGTTTAGAACCTCTGTGAAGTTTTTATTGCTGTGTCTCCTTGTCCTGCTGACTACTTTATACGTATTTCTTTTCCGGGTATCCCTGGGCAATTTTCACAATGGGGACACAAGACAACAATAACAACCAGGTAGAAATTATAATATTTCCCTTCAGTATTGAAAACTGAAAATGCTTTGAGCAGGGTAGGCCTCATTTACACTGCCGCGCGTATACGCGCGTACGTGCGTATTGTACCATATGCAACCTATGCAAATAAATGGCTCCATACACACAGCCGCATATAGAGCCATATATTTGCGTAGCGTATATATGCGCAAAAACAGAATGGAACAGAGATGCGTCCGGGCAGCGTATCTCTGCGTATTTACGCGCATATACCGTGTTTACGCGCATATATGCGTCTATATGCGCGTACATGCGTACAGCACATTAAAAATTCCATTACGAGTGATGCATTCTGGGATTGCATATAGTGCACGTATATACGCAATATACAATTTTGCTTGCGTTGTGTGTGAATGAGGCCTAATAGTTGATTAGTGTTTTGTCACATTCTGATTCTTCTCCAGTCCCTGTAAATGTTATTTGGTATTTTTATTACTATTATTTGCTATTTCATTTAAAGGAGAACTATGGGGTTGAGGCTTTTCCCCATAGTTCTCCTTAGGGTAACGGGAGGACACAAACTAGCGTCCTCCCGTCACCCTAGGCTCAGTATACCGAGAGCTGTAGCTCGCTGTATACTGAGACGCCGCAGCTGAAGCGGATCCCGACAATTGTGCCGGGATCCGCCCAACTGCGTGACTGACAGCTGGCTCTGCCTATCTAGAGGCAGAGCAAGCTGTACCCGCCCCCTCCCCCGTCCGATCCGCCAGTCAGCGCTGGCGGATCGGAGCGTGGAGGGGGGAATCCAGCCCCTCCCCTGTCACGGCAGAGAGCCGTGACAGGATCGAGAGGTGAGCGAACGCCGGTATGTGTTCGCTCACCTCCCGATCTACTGAGCCGACCTGTGACAGTCTCATTGTCACAGGTCGGCTAGAACTATGAGGTGAGTGAAAAGCACTGACCTCATAGTTCTCCTTTAAACAAGACTGCTAACTCCTAACTTTGTATTTGTTATACTTGAGCACACACTTCACTCCACCCAATTCTAACACTGCAGGGGTAGCCATTAATGTACGGTGTTCATGCATGGACAGATGCATAAAGGAGAACAGTGGGTGGTGAAGTATCTGCCCATCCTTGAATGATTTGTGGGCTACTAGGACCTTCTGGGATCTTGTTTTTTTCTTGAGTTACGGGTGAATGCAAAGCGCTTTGTTTTCTTTTCTTCAGTCTCCACTAAAAAGAGAATGATCAACTACTGTCTGCAAAAATAGTTCCCTACATATTGGTATATGTATAGGAATAGGATTACTCTTAGGCTATCCTTACTTTACTAAAACTAACGTACTAATACAGTCTTCCCATATATCAGACCAATCATTTCTTTGCTAACACCAAACTTTACCTAAAACATTGATACACCATCTATTGCTAATCAAATTACACTGTATAGCCCTCTTTCTCATTTGTGGGATAAGACAACAAAGGTGAAGAAAAAGTCTCTGTTATACATCATTTCTGCTTCAAATTGCTCTGAAATTTATAATTGCTTATAATTGCTCTGAATTTATGTCTACTGGGCAGATAGTATACATAATAATTGGAAGAGTTTGAGCCCATGGAACTATTCCATAGGTCAAGCTCCATTCACATAATGGGATATCAAAGGCAGGGAAGACAGTATTAAGAAAATTCTGATGGTCGAAAAATATTGTCAATTTTTCTGTTTAACCTCTCGCTGTAGATACCAACTCCAGTGATAACCATCTAAACCTGTAAGACCAATGTTAACATAGTCATACACGTTTAATGGCTACTCATTCATTGTCAGTAGGAAAATCATAGCTTTGAACATACGTATGTATGCGATAGGCACGCATATGTAATGACAACTCTGCATTTTTACAGGGAAAAATATTAGTGCATGAAAATTAGCCCCTGCCAACAATAAAAAGTGTCATCCAATGCAAATACAAAAGTTGCAAGTATTGGGTGTTTACTGGTAAGTAATATTTATGGACATGGTTAGCTACAGTATAGGAGTCTGATGCCTAGGACATGAGTTTGCATTTACTGTGTGAGTATGCCTTTACAAGTTTTCTATTCGTAATTTTAGCTTTACAGCAGGAAAACGATAAGAACATTAGGCTTTGTAATTTGATTAGTGACTCAATCAATTTTCAGTTCCTCAAATAAATATATAATTTAACTTGACACTTTGGACAACAGAGCTTTTGCTATATATTTGCTGGATATTTTTTTTTAAGCAGTGATGCTTGAATTGTCATGGACATTTATTCAAAACATGTAATAGCTTTAAGATCAGAATGATGTGTAAACTTTTTGTAAGCATCAATGCTTTGGCGATTTTAGTTGTTTGCCGCAAAGCTCTGACCTCTACAGTCAATGGCAGAGCACATTTTCTCATAACAAAAATTATGTTTTTTGGTTGGTGTTGTCTCCGTTCCTTCACCAGAATCTGACACCGTGATGGGGCTGTCTCTGGCAAATACTTCTGTGGACTCTCTCCATAAGCAGTCAGGTGCCATTTTGTATATGAAATTATTGCACTTGGGCCTAAAAATATGTGATTTGTTATTGAAAAGCTGACGACTGTTGGAAGTTGCAATTTTTATTTTCAATGTGGCGTCGACTCTGTCCACTACTGTGTATGTGCCAATACTCCCGTCCTCAAATCCTACAACAATATTGAGATGCCGTTGTGAGAGAGCAAGGAAAGTTGGAGTTTTATATAATGAACAAGCACCAATGCTCTTTCCATCTGCAAGTCTCATCACTATTAAACTTGAAACTGAATTGTCCTCATCATCTTCGCCATTGCGGTAGCAAATGTAGACAAGATAACGCCCATCGCAGGACAAGCTCTGCTTCCATATAATGCCAGATGCATGCACCACTCTGAGCTTTCCACTGTGCAAATCTAGAACATTGAACTTTTCATCACCATGAGTGATTATTCCAAGCTTCCCATTTGGAGAGATTTCAAAGTCATTGAGCTTTTTCAAAAAGTTGCATGGAAGCTGCACCCTCCTGCAGACGGCCTCCTCAGCCAGGCTCCAGATGTTCACAGATTCAGTGGATGTCATGAACACAACAAAATCTGGACAGTCTGGGATCAATCTGAAGTTTATAATTGCTGATCCATCATCACAACAGTACTTTTTTGTTATGCTTCCTGTCCATAAACTTACCGCCAGAAGCTTGTTCTTGGTCATGCCGATCATAAACGTGTTTGCAGTAGTTATAAGTGCATTCTTAAAGGCAGCTAAGATATTACATACTTTATGGCCTGTTGCAAGCCTCCATACCCTGGATGCATTTTGCTCGCAAAGTGATACTATAAATTGATCATTATGTGTTATTAACAACTGAGATATTCGCTGACCACTAATCCGTAAAAGATTTTCACCAGTGCTGGTATGCCAAACATATTGGTTACATTTGTCATCTGAGGTGACCAGCAACTCACCAGTGGCTGTGAGCACGCAATTTTCCACATTTCCTTCATGTTTAAAGACAGATTCAATATAACCAGTATTAAAATTCCATTTATGGACATAATCAGATCCATCGAGTGAGTAGATGTAATCTCCTCTGCTGGACAACAAAACCATTTGGATAGCTCTCCCAGTCTTGTCAATATTGGACATTGCCGTTAAAATATCGATGTCCCAAATGGAAAGCACACCACTAACAGACAAGGACAGGAGTAAATTGTGATGGCTTGATTTCACTAATTTGACAATGTTCCCTGAGATTTCTTGTAAACTTGCCATGCATTGCCCAGTGTCTCTTCTCCATACAAATATAGATGAGGTATTTTCCATGGAAGCAATTATACAGTCAGAATTCCTGGAGAGGACAGCTGAAATAAATCGCTCATTGCGCTTTGCCCTAAACTTTTCAGACACTTTCCACATGCGCGTATCCAAAAGTTCAATACTTAATGCTTTGCAGATAAGAATTGCACTTTGGTCTTCAGATAACTCAGTGCAAATGACTTCACTGTCTCCCTTGCTACAATCAAATTCTTCAGTTACTTGAGGATTAGTCATTACCTCCGTGTTCCACACAGATAGGCTCCCTTCATTGTCAATCATGACTGCTTCTTGGTTTGTATCAAGAACAAGAATGTATTTCACAAACCCTCCAGAAAATTCAGATGTAACAGTTGACAGTTTCTCTCCAGTACCTAAATGAAATATTGTGGTTGTATTGAGGTATTGTCCACAAAATGCATACAGTCCATCTGAAGAACACTGAATACAGGTCACCTCATACCAGCAATGGAAATTGTACAGTGGCCAGCCGTAAAGTAAATCTATGACATTAACATCTTTGCTTGCTTCCAACCAGGCCAGTGCATGTGTATGTGATAGAGTAAACCCATTTATAAGGTTTGGGCCCCCTGCAACTCCTTTGGAACCTTTAATTTCAACTTCAGACAAAAGGCAAGAGTTAAGGTTATCATAAATTAGGAGGGTTTTCTTTGTTGTGGACACAACAAGATATTTTTCATCTACGGTAATTTTCATCCCCATTATTACAAACTGGGTAGTTGTGATTTGCCGTAAGAGTTGCCTTGACTCAACATCCCAGGTACTGATAGTGCCATTCTCAAGGGCAGAGATTATAATATTCGGACTGTATGTTGGAAGGACCTCAGTGATGTGCAGTGAGCTAGCTGATAATGAAATTCTTTCAGGGGTGTAAGTAACATCCATGGAAGAATGGAGTGGAACAATTGAACAGTATTTAGGTCCATCTTTGTCACATTCTAAAAGAAGGTTTCGAAATTTAGGCAAAGAACTCACAACTGGAAGAAGTATCTGCTGTAACTCAGCTGAAAGGGACCCTGGATTTTTTAAAATTTTGTTTTTAATGCTTTGAAGGGTACCGGCAAGAAATTTCAGCTCTTTTTCTTGTGAATAGTTGTATGCTATTTCTATGTCACCTAGTGCCTTTTCAAACTGACCGATTTTGATCATTGTGTACAGCCAACTAAAGTTCATTGTAATCCCAGACATCATTTCATCTGTCATACCACATCTTGTCAAATGATGCAACAGTTCTGTCATTTTCCTGTGATTCACAAAAAATATATCAGGCTGTAGAGGATTGCACTGAAATGCCCAGGGCTGTTCTGGAGCCTGTCTGTCAAATTCATTTTCATCAGGATAATGTTTTCCATCATTGTGTATGCTACTATGTTCATTTTGAATACTGTTTTCAAAATATCGATTCTCAGTGTAGAAATCTTTTTTCCTTCCTCCCGACCATACACCTAAGAAGTACTCTGCCACATTGGCATGCATCTCTTGCAAATCATCATCATTACTGAGATACAATTTCTGGGCAATAAGATGAAGGTGTCTGTTTGACCAAACCAAAAGTGTGACATTCCTTACATGTCTCTCTACTAAATATCCATTAAGATCCTCTCTAATTTGTGCAATAATTCTATAGGGTACCCTTAGTGGATTCAAAGGTTTTCCACTGGCTACTAACTCAGTAATTACACTGTTATCAAGAGCTAAAATGTCATCTAGCTCCACCTCACTGAGACCTGTTTTGGCCATTGTAATGTACCCTAGTGCTCTTGACACCAACCGTAGCCCACACTTGCTTTCCAGTGAACAGAATAACTGTTCTATGTTCTCATGTACGGTCACACAAAGAGTTGAGTCATCAACATCTTTATGAGATCTCCAGTTTCGGACCTCTCTGAAAGTCAAGTTGACAAACATCGGCAAGGTACATTTGGAGAAAGCTTCATTGACGTAAATTTGCTGACCCGATGTTACCTTCCTTTTAATCCTCAGCAGCTGGTGTTTAAGTATTTGGCTGCACATTTTCCGATCTCGTGGAATAAGTTCTACATAATTGTCTTCGTTGTGTATAAGGCACCTTAGTTTTTGGAGCATTCCATGCTTGTTTGGCAGTGTTGATATGATTATACGAACTGTGCGAGGAAGGTGAATGGGCAGCCACCAAAGTTTTCTTGCTTCTTCACTGTCTGAAAGTTGTTCGAGACTGTCCAACACAAGAAGAAGGGGTCTATGAAATGATGACTCATTTAGCAAGTTTAAAAATAGTTCCTGAAGGTCCAGGATCTTTTTTGGAATGCTCTGCAGTAAACACCGGTAATTTACTGCTAGTTGTTCACAAAGGCTTTGCAGTAAACAGTTTAATTGACAGCTCATTTCAGTGGATCCCAGGAACCTTACAATAACCACTGGATCCGAATCTGTTCCAATTTCATCTTGAAGCCATGAAAAGGCCTGCAAAACAAACAGAAGTCAGAGTCACAAAGTTTTACTTTTATGTATGAAATGTGAGGTCTCTGGACTTTGAATAAAGTTTGTAGGACTGAATAGTTATTTCATTATTTACATACACCTTATAATACCAGTTTACATCAGTGTATCCTCATCATAAGAAATATGCATTAATACTTTGTATGGCTTTTTATTTACAGTGTTTATTTTACGCATTTCTAGTACAGAAAACACCAAAACAAACAAACATGGTATGACATATATAAGAGAGGCATCAGGTATCATAGACTGTAATAAACAACATTTTGCTCAACCACTTATATGTATGAAATAGCAGAGGTAGAAAAGAAAAAAAGAAAACTTAAAATTATATGACAATGACTGTTGCCAATTATTCAAAGAATTAGCTTTGCAATCAGAATACAGTAAGTTATAATGGCAAGTAAAGTGAACTGGTAAAGGGGTCCTTGTGATTCCATACTAGTTCATTATTATGCTCCAAAATTCTGTAGGATTCTGTTGCCCTACTCCCATTACTCTTCCTTCCTGAGTAAATAATGTAACTCTCAAATACATGTACGTATTCAACTCAACATGTGCCACCTGTCGGCTTAAAATAATAGCTCACAATATTCATTCTGAATTTTTAGAGGAACAAAGGCAGAACAGACACATTTTTCTAAATTGGCAGATTTTGTGTGTATCTGGACATCATTAATATTCCCACCCCTATAAATTTGTAATGTTCTAACCTTTCCTGGTGTATGAGGTAGCGCCTCTCTAATAGCTTTGTTAACATATAACTGAAGCCAAAACTTTTCACACTTTTTCTTTGTCCTGGTGAATGTTGTCATGAAAATGAAAGTAAAAGAAACTCACAAATATTGGGTTGTCATCAGAATAAGAATAGATGGGAAATCTTCCAATAGGGCACCAGTTCTGGTGTGCCTGGTGATCCCTCTTTGGGGGGATTTCTTCTCACTTCCTGTTCTGGCTTTCAAACAGGAATTGAAGGTGAATAAAATCAAGTACCCATGCATGCAGACGGCTTCTACAAACATCACTCTTAGGAGCTCAGTGAATTCAAGTGTGGTACCGTGATAGGTTGCCACTTGTGCAATAAGTCCATCCGTGAGATTTCTTTGCTACTAAATATTCCACGGTCAACTGTTAGTGGTATTATAACAAAGTGGAAGCAACTGGGAACAACAGCAACTCAGCCACAAAGTGGTAGGCCATGTAAAATGACAGAGCGGGGTCAGCGCATGCTGAAGCGCAGAGTGCACAGAAGTCGCCAACTGTCTGCAGAGTCAATAGCTACATACGTCCAAACTTTGTGTGGCCTTCAGATGGGCACAACATCAGTGCATAGAGAGCTTCATAGAATGGGTTTCCATGGCCGAGCAGCTGCATCCAAGCCTTACATCACCAAGTGCAATGCAAAGCGTCAGATGCAGTGGTGTAAAGCACGCTGCCACTGGACTCTAGACAAGTGGAGACGTGCTCTCTGGAGTGACGAATCACGCTTCTTTGTCTGGCAATCCGATGGACGTGTCTGTGTTTGGCGGTTGCCAGGAGAACGGTACTTGCCTGACTGCATTGTGCCAAGTGTAAAGTTTGGTGGAGGGGGATTATGGTGTAGGGTTGTTCATCAGTGTTTGGGCCTGGCCCTTTAGTTCCAGTGAAGGGAACTCTTAAGGCATCAGCATACCAAGACATTTTGGACAATTTCATGCTCCCAACTTTGTGGGAACAGTTTGGGGATGGCCCCTTCCGGTTCCAACATGACTGCGCACCAGTGCACAAAACAAAGTCCATAAAGACATGGATGAGCGAGTTTGGGGTGGAGGAACTTGACTGGCCTGCACCTGATAGAACACCTTTTGGATGAATTAGGGCGGAGACTGCGAGCCAGGCCTTCTCGTCCAACATCAGTACCTCACGTTACAAATGCGCTTCTGGAAGAATGGTCAAACATTCCCATAGACACACTCCTAAACCTTGTGGACAGACTTCCCAGAAAAGTTGTAGTTCTTATAGCTGCAAAGGGTGGGCCAACTCAATACTGGACTAAGACTGGGATGCCTTTAAAGTTCTTGTGCGTGTAAAGGCAGGCCTCCCAATACTTTTGGCAATATAGTGTAGCTCTCACCAGAACTGCATTTAAAAAAACATTCCCATCACAATTTGTCTCCGTGATACTGGTCTAATGGACTAATGGAGAGGGTGAATCTACATAGTGGGGACAGCAAGAAATAAAAAGGCTTCTAAACTTCCCTACTCTATCCAAATTGAAAATAAAGTGTTGGCTATTAATACACTTAAGTATGTAAGTGTATGTAAAGACATTTTATTTTTTATTTTTTGGATAGATCAATAAGGGTTACCTTTACCGAGGATACCCTGTAATGTTTTCATTACTATCTGTGTCTCCGTTGGGGAGATTCACCCCTCTATTTGCCCTTGTGGCCACTGTCACTGAGACACAGTGATGGGCAATCCAAAAATTAGAGAGTTGTTACCAGAGCAATACGTGAGGAAAAATCCAACAATGGGTACAAATGTTCCTATGACAACTCTCTAAGATGCCATATCCCCTCATGTCCTGTTGCGTATCTAGAACAGGACGTGAAGAGAAATCTCCTGAGTTTTTACCCATCTTTGCTCTATCCAAAACAAAAATAAACATCTTTACATACTCTTTAACACTATCAGTCAGCGTTAAGGGATGTATCTGATAGAATAAAATGCATGGATTACTACTGTGTTTATATAAATAAATATATAAATACCTTTTTTGCTACTTCTGCTAATAGTAGTGTTTTTCCAGTGCAGGGTCCGCCATATACAATAAGAGGATTGGTATGTCCTGCTTTGGAAGGCTGTATGTATTTATGAACCAGGCTTAGTGCTTCACATCTGTATTCATAGAAGGTAGAGTATGTCCGGCACAGGGACAAGTGCTGTAGGATTTCATCATACAGAGAATCAGTCTCAGTATCAAGGTTCTGCTGCACTGTCGCCTGGACGATATCGATCATATCTTCATAGAACTGTTTGCAGAGCCCTTCTACATAATGATTCTCCACTTCTTGTGAATAGCCGAGCTTCATATCACAATGTGTTACAGAGGTGTAAACTCGAAGATTGGATGATGCCACAATAGTCGGAATAAATTCATCCCTGAGTTTTATAATTTTCTCCAGTGCTTCTTGGTCTCGCATCATCTTGTCAACCTTAATGACATCAGTATATTTGGACATCTCTGGGATTTTTAAGTGTTTTTCAATATTGGAGATTTTCCGAATATAGCAAACACACTTCTTTAAAAATGCTGCTGTTTGCTTTCCTAGAGCAAAATCAAACTCGTCCTCTAAGGCTAAGCAAAAGAGAAGATTGTTTTTTAGTATTTGTAGAAGTACAGTACAGTTATACAATAAATGTAACATTGTTTTCAAATTGTTTTCTATTGTGGCTTTATAAATATTCCTAAACTGTCTCTGCATCATGCTGTGGCAGTAACCAGCACTCTTGTATTGCTATGCTTGGCTCCTCAGCTCAATTCTCTCCAAGGATATCACATGTACAAGCAGGACCGTATTTACTCTCCCTGCTGTCCCAAGGCCAGGTTTTTACTATTACTTATGATCCATGCGGCATCCTGTATTTTTTAAAATGAGGTGGAACTGTGTATAACTTCGCCCACACAGCCATGTCATCATTGTGAATGGGAAGCCTAAAAATTCCATCTGCCTCATAGTAGAGGGACTCACAGATTGCGCATTTGCAGTCCATTTATAGTTTGATTTCTTTGATTTCTCCTGATCTCTGTGTTCGGTCTGGGGGTGCCCCGTTTTGGTCTCCTCTGGTCCCTCTCTGTCCGCGCCCATGGTGAAATGGTGGATAGCAGTGATACTGCCATTTTAAAGACTATTGTAAGTCTATTGAACTAGAGGAATTACACTAATCAATAAATGTGTTTACATGGATTAGAATTCAATTAATGCTCTCGAATATTTAAACTTCTTATAGAAAGATAGTAACCTATTCCTGAAGAAGCGGATCTCTGTGAAATGCGTAGAAATTATTGTCCTCCCACTGGACTACAACACAACAAGGAAGCTAATATACAGCAAACTGTAAAAAGTACTGTAATGTTTAGACAATTGGGGGAGGATGCAGCTACATCCTTTGTTCTCTTTTAGATATTTTTTTAAAAATGCATATATCTTTTTACATATGTTCAAATAAAAATGTGTTATATTTTACAAAAAACACTTTTTGTGATCATTGGAGTACCTTAAAAGTCCGAACTTTCTCTTTTTTATTTAATTTTCAGTCCATTGCTTACATCTTAGTGACAGCGGCTCCGTCCCGCCGCCGGTTCCTTCACGTCTTCTCGGATCCCCGCTGGGGAGAGCAGCGGGGATCCAGAGAAGCGGCGGGAGGAGAGGACATGGCGATCTACCAGTGATCGCTACCTTGTGGGCACCCCTGATCTAGCTCCATAACAGAGGATTTATATGTACCTGTACGTACCGGTGGATGAGGGTAAACAATGCAGGAGCCTATGCATTGCACCCACAGTGGGTGCATTTATTACATTTTTTTCAAAAGTTGGACTATGCCTTTATAATTGAATCCTAGGAAAACAGCTCAATACACAGATGTAGTAGATACTGTATATAAGAGCTGTTATATCTGCCAAAAGGATTTGCATCTATACACCTAGTTTAGAGATTTGCCGCAACACACCGCCTCGGGGACAACCACCAACTGACCGCAGACACTCCAAATATCCAATAGTGTTCACCATCTTACACCATGAATAGAGGACCCATACCAAGAGAGGTCCCCAAACCTTAACCACCATCACCTATTCTTTGATTGCCTCCAAAGACACCAACCGCATAACTACCCGTAGCCTAACCACAAAAATTGGGTGGGCAGCCATCAGAAATTTTGGGGCCCCTTACACGGCTTTAGGCCAGGCCCCCCGCACCGCCGCCCCCGCACGGCCGCCACACTGAGCCAGTCACACTGTTATTATACATTTATATAGCTCTGACATATACCACAGTGCTGTAAAGAGAACACTGAGCCAGTTACATCAGTCTCTGTACAGAGTAGCTTACACTCTAATGCAGAATGGCACCAGCTGTAGGGAGGGCTACAAATCTCAACAATACATTTAAAGAGCAATGCAGAACAGTATATGAATTTGGCTCAGGGCCTAGCAACCCGATGGACTCAGGGATTAGCGACCCGGAGGACGCAGGGATTAGCGACCCGCTGGACGCAGGGCTTAGCGATTCCGCTGGACGCAGGGCTTAGCGATTCCGCCGGACGCAGGGCTTAGCGACCTGCTGGACGCAGGGCTTAGCGACTCGCTGGATGCAGGGCTTAGTGACCCGCTGGACTCAGGGCTTAGTGACGCGCTGGACGCAGGGCCTAGTGACGCGCTGGACACAGGACCCACCTGAGAGTGACCCTGTAGAGCCCACCATAGATGCTGCACAGCCCATCTGAGACTGTCTATGGTGGGCTCTGAAGGGGTCTCAGGTGGGCTGGTCAGGGCTGCATCTCCCACCCACTCACCCAACTTCTCTTACCTGCACACCATGCCTCCTCTGCCGCCGGACTGACCGGAAGTGATGTCACGTCACTGACGTGACGTCACTTCCGGCCAGTCCGACATCAGATGAGCAGCATCCCTCATGGGGCCCCAGCTTGTCTCGAAGCGGCTGGAGCGGCAATGCTGGGGCCCTGCGCTGCTAGGGCCAGGCCTCCGCTGCCGATACGGGGGCCCGGCCGCTTCCTCGCCCTGCACCATCGTCCGATACTCATGTAAGGGTCCCGAGCGGGCCCCCCAGGCTGCCCGGGCCCCTTACATGAGTATCTGCCGTACCCCACTGATGGCGGCCCTGGGTGGGAGGGAAGTTCACTCCTCGTTAGACAATCTCCAACTGCTGAAGAGAAGACCCTCCTACTCAGACCACCGTTCAAGCTCTACCTAACCTTTTGACCTGTCCAATCAGGTAAGTGACCTTGTCCTAAGCCTCGTTAACCCTTTTGTAGCTTGTCTCCCCTATACTCCTATCATGTATGCCCTCCGCTTTTTTTTTCCGCTTCAGGCCTTCCTTACTCGTTGCAATGCAGCACTAATGGTTGGCTCCTTGTGCTGCTTCTTTCTCTTTGAGCTCTGCTGTGCAGACTCTGCCTTTTATATCTGCCTGAAGTTCAGCTTGAAAAACACATGCTGGCACAACTTTAAAACAACCCCCCTGTTAGCTCTAGGTAGCAGGGAGTGATGTGAATAATGCTATGTACTATGTAAAGAGATGTGTAACATATGTGTGCTGTACAAATAAGGGAATAAAAAAAAAAACATCTCAGGACAAATTCAAACTTTGGAATAGCCATGCTTATACTACCTTCCCTACTGAACATGCCACTAACTTGAAGCAAGCATACAACTAGTGAAATGTTGGGACTTTATTTATGTCAGCTAAAATATTTAGCTTTTTCAAACAGCTTAATCAATTAATCAAAGTGTTACATACTCCCCCTACCTCCTCTTCTCTAACTCGTGGGGCTGAGCACTTTCAGCAAATAGACTGTGAACCCTGGGCAGAGCATTTGTGTTTTCCTGCTGACTCCCTCAACCACAAACTTAAAGTTCTGTAATTCCAGGAACCAGCAGGTGAATCTTACATTCCTCACTGTATTGTGGTATATCCAATTGAGAGGGGTGTGGTCTGTAATAACCCAAATTGCTATTCCAACAAATAATAGTTTAGGCTTTCAAAAAACCATTTTGTGGCTAGCCACTATCTTTTCACAATTCCATATTTACATTTCCCGGGGGTCATATTTATGCTAAGGAAAGCCACAGGGCATTTACCACCTTGGACAAAACGGCTCCTAAGCCCACTTCTGATGAATCAGTTTGCGACACAAATTACTGATTTAAATTGGGGTTATCAGTACTGGGCATCTACATAGGTCTGTTTTAGGCCCTCTGGTGTCTCTTGGTATAGGGGACATCAGCATTTTCTTGTGGTGTTAGATTATGCCACCCAGTATCCAGAGGCAATCCCTTTAAGAAATCCTTATGCAAAAAGGATTGCCAAAAGGAACTTTTTGTAATGTTCACCCGTGATAGTATTCCAATGGAAATCCTGACAGGCCAGGGCACACCCTTTAGGTCATGAGTTACAAAAAGCAGAGGGTACCCACATGTTCTATGGCAGTGATGGCTAATGTTTTTCAGCCCGAGTGCCCAAACTGCGACACAAAATCAATTTATTTATCTCAAAGTGCCAACACTTAAAATAAGTTTGGTGTTCTGTTTTAGTTTGGGCACTGGGGTTTAAAAAATGTTCAGCATCACTGCCTTTTTAAAATGTAAAATTTAATTTTGTCTTTATTTCTTATTTTTGCATCACATTTTATTTTTTATTTATCTTATTATATTTCTACTTTTTATCACTTTATTTTTAAATTTTTTATTTTGTTATTTCTTATTATTTTTTACTTATTTTTTTCTTATATTTTTTTATCTTTTACTTTTGATATTTTTTATTTACATTTAATTTTTTTTATTTTTTTTCACTTAAGCCCCTATGTGATAGCATTTCACGCATATTACAAGCCATCTCGGTGGCATTGCCGGGATCACTTGTACTAAACAAGCGATGGCTTCCCTGCTCTACATTTAACCTTGTTTCCCTGAAGCAAGGCTAAGTGAAGAAAAAACTACCCGCCCGACACCCAGAACTGCACTTCCCGGGTGTCGGGCGATAGCATTTTTACTCCCCTGCCTAGGCTCGCATGCCACCAGAGGGGCCTCTTCATTCCCTCTGTGGCATGGGTGTGATAGCTTCGTCACCACTGTTCGATGGTAATAAAAGTGTACTTCCAGAACAGACATTGTACCAAATGGCTCCTAAAATAATTATTTGACAAACAGGGCAGGAGTCGCAATGCATTTAACATCCTTTTGTACCCCTACCCAGTAAAAAACGTTGTTTTTATCATATCCCAAATATCCCCTCAACACATTAGGATGAACCAGATCAAGCACAGTGCATCTGTAGAGCTATAAAATGACAAGTTGGTTGGCTCTTCCTCCCCATATCTCATTCACCCGATACAACAGGTCATTCTCCAGCCCCTCCTTCGTGAGGCACCCTATTAATAAATTGTACCTGCTCCCTAGCATGGTGCAAAATGATATGTCACATTGTCACATTTAGAGGGTTATTCACAAAAGGGTGAAGAGTTTGGAGAAGGCAGGAGAAGTGAACTATCTAGGACAAAATATCTGATCTGGATGTCACAGTTCAGCTGCAGACTTGCAGCTGAGCTGTTACTTGTAGTTCTACAAGGATATACATACCTCTTACCCCTAGTTCTGCAGGCATGTAGGGCTATGCTGGTGCTTGTAGTGCTCCAGACATGCTCTCTAAACCTGACTCACACTTGCACCTGTCTGCAAGCTTTAGGCGTCGGCCGACCTCTCCTGCTGTTTCTTATGCAGCTTCTCGGCCAATCAGTGCAGCCTGCTTGTAGCCAATCCTGTGGATCCTCTCTCTTCCTGTCTCTATTTAAACACAGGGCAGCGAACGGCACGCGGCCCGAGCAACGCTTTCCTAAGCTAGTTGCCGAGTCCCCCCATATGTGATTTACCCTGAATTCCTGGAAGTTTTCCCGTTTACCGAAACTTTGGCTTGTCCTTGGAAATCCCTGTTTACAGTCTGCACTGGGCTTCGCTTTTGTCCTTGGAAATCCCTGTCTTCTGACTGCCCTGTGCTTCACCTCGTCCCTGGAAGTCTTTAGCCTGTCCATAACCTTTGATTTGTACCCTGTACCTGTTAGGTGATTTGGGTGAACCTGGGGATTGTGACCTGGGGTCAGCACGCAGCCAAGCACATCTCCACCATGAGGAGCTCTGGCGAATACCGGCTGGCTCTTAGATTCCACATCCTGGGGGACCCCATGACACCTACTCAGCATCCCATGCCACCTAATCAGCATTGCAGCACCCTGCCTTGAATTTGAACTTCCACTGCCTCATTCACATACCTGCTCTGTTCCCTGTTTTTACTCCAGCTCTGGGAGTTGTCAGCCTACACTGCTTGGACCCTTTTCTCTAAGTGTCCCTGCCAGTGTAATGGAAAGGGTCCACATACCTGACTCCAGTTTATACCTGTGAGTCCCAATCCATGACACTGGAAAGTGAGCTGAATTGGAGAATTTTTCCAAATCAGCTATTTTATCCTAGATTGTTCTCTTCTCCTGCCTTCTCCAAACTCTTCACCCTTTTGTGAATAACCCTGATACTTTACAAATTTGTATAGAGATTGTAGTCCATCACGGGAGTGAGCATGAAGTGGTGTCTACTGTAATTTACAACACACACAGGGACCATGGGGAATGAAAGTAGCCACCCTCCAGAAGTAAGGACAGTGTCAGCACCAATTCTGAGATGATTTGAGGATCTACAGCTATATGACACATTTTTGTTAATAGTTAGTCACTTTAAAGCTAAACTCCAGACAAACAGATAAACACACAGATGAAATACATGTTTTGGAGCTTATTTACCTACCTATTTCTGCCCAGCTCGGTTTTTGTTAATAGTTAAGGTACTTGAATGCATTTTTCAGATTTAATTCCTGAGTTCGTGTCACTTTAAAGCAGGCCATATACTAAAGGTATTCTTCGTGAAGCTGAATGTAATGGGCAGGTACAAAAAATATATAAAGACTCTGGAGCGGAAACTCTTCAAAGCCTGAAGGCATTTTGAATATAAAGTGCTTTGATGCAGCTCTTCTTAAACATGTGTCCAATATATGAACAGATATGTAAACTCTCTAGTTACCAGAATAAAAAGACATAAAATGAGTAGTTACCAGATGATAAGTATCTCTTTGTTTGGCTTGATTTTAGCTTTCCATTCTCATGAAGCAGTTTCACTGCAGTTTTGAAGATGTTTTTGATCTCTTCTACAACTGCTCGCCATTTCTTCTCATAGGCAGAACTTATCGAAGAGTCTCCCTAAAATGAAGAAGGTTAAAGTATTTTGGCTTGGTAATAGCATTTAAGAACAATGACATTGATTTAAAATAACAGAATGAAATCATTGCAATGTACATCACAAAAAAAATAATGGAATCACTTCTTCACTTTCTCAAGATTCATAAGTTACATACAAGTTTTTGTATCTGGGTGTAAGACACAAATAATGATATCTGACCTAAGAGTTACTATACGTCTTAAGTGGCTACGTCTTAAAATGAACAGTAAGAAAAGGTATGTTAATCGACAGTTTAGCATTATACAGCCTGGCCTAAAAAAAATCACACAGATTACAGCACGCATTCACTGTGGCATCATGTCAATAATTCTCCTTTTTTACTACTTTCAGTGTTATTTTTATCTATGATTAAATTATCAACGTTTAGTTTAAGTAATTTTATTTTTATACCCTCCCCCCCACTTTCTAGTTTAAAAGCTCCTCCAGTCTTTCTACCATTTTCTACCACATCCCAAAGATTCTCAATGGGGTTAAAGTGTGGATTTTCTAGTGGCCAATCCATATGTAAAACATTTGTCTCATTGTCAGGAAGCCAGGCTTGGCCTGTGCGCCATAATCCTACACGAGCACCTGCGTATATGTGCGTGCATGGGCATAGTTTAGCTCATAAAATTGTGCACTGCTGGTTGCCTCTGCACAGACGTGTGCACGTCTGTGTTGTGGATATTGGCGCAAAATGGACAAATTTAATGTTGTGATTTTCGAGCCTCCAACCCTGACTGGTCTTCAGCTGTTCCCAGCGCCAGTATCCTGTACCCTGCATCTGGATTTCCTGTTCTTGACCCAGCTTGGCTGACCATTCTCTGCTCTTCTGGATTCCCTTGACTGTGGCTAGTTTCTGACCATGCTCCTGTTTGCTGCTCTGTATTTTGCTGCCCGCAAGTTGCTGGCCAGGCCCGTCCCCGACTACGTGTCTGCTGTTTTGGTACCTTGCTGTTTGACCGTTGCTGACCTGGCTTAACTTCACTACCAACCGGAAACTCGTGCCTCTCCTGTCCTTGTGCACCTGTTCCACTTCATGGGTTTCTTGGACTTTAGCTGCAAGAGAGGCCTCCTTCTTCAACTCAGACTCACCTAAGGTATGTGGTTCGGACTTGTGGCAGACGGACTTGTACTTCTCATTGGAGTACAAGTGCAGTGATGTCACCACACTTGTAGTCTATTGGCACTTCACCCTATCCCTGTTACTTAATGTCCGTACCTAAGTAAAATGTTGATACTTCAAGTTAGAATCTCATGTAAAGTTCAGTTTACGTTAAAATGTATATGAAGACATTTTTTTGTTAGTTTTTGAGGGTGTAGGGAAGGGTTAGACTCTTTATTAAGTTTATATTGCTGTCTGTGTCCCCTTTTGGGGAGATTCACTATATTTATTCTGGAGACCATTGTCACCGAGACAGAATGTGAGGGGAAATGCAAAATGTTTAATTGGTCACCAAAGAAGAGGTGAGGGAAAATTCTCCAATTCATAAACATCTGTTCCTGTAACAATTCTGTTCACTTTGGAGGAAGCTCCTCCCAATTCCTGTTGCATCTCTAGGACAGGAAGTGATAGAAAGTCCATTACTTTCTATAAAGTGATCAGAGAAACAGCATAATGATCAGCGTATCTCTCTGTCATCCTGCACTTTACTAATATTAGCATGCTCCTTGATTGGGGGACTGAAAGAGACTGATACCAAATCAAATTGGCATTTGCAATTATATAAAAAAGCAGATTTAACGATGTATTGAAGAGGTGCATTCATTTGTGTCATTTATACTTTCTGGAGTTTAGCTTTAATTCCACCAGTTCACAGCAGACAATTGATTGGTTGGCTCATCTTTAATTAGTGGCATGGTCAAAAATGGCAAAAAGAGGAAAGAGAAGTCCATGATGCAAAAACTGCTCATCATCAGAACACGAGTAACATTGCCATGACAGCATCAGAAGAAGATGAGCACATGCCCTAATATGAAAAACAAGGCTCATTGCTAGCCGATTGCGTGTGCACACATGTTTGTGAAGGAAAGCTAATTTGTGCGAGCATGCTAATTCAGGTGAGCATGCGTAGGGATGTATGTGCGTACAGGTGCATGATCACGTATGCCTGATTATAATTTTGGCACCAAGTGGTCCATTTAAGGAATAGTGCTGAGTGAGGAAGTTGCGGAATGGTCTTCAACTGTTATCCTGCGACTTGAATCCTGAATCAGTTCCTGATCTGCTTAACAGCCTGCCCTTGAAATTGTCTCTGCTTTGCCTCCCTGATATTGACCTTGGCTAGATCCTGACTACAGCTCATCTTTGCTGACCTTCTGGTGTGACCACAGTTGCTGAGTGTTCCACTTTCTTTGCCATCTGCATGTCGGTGTGCCTCTTCACTGGTAAACTTCCTGTTGGTCTCCACAAACCTCTGATGATCAAGCTTGCTGCCAGAAGTGAGCTTTCATGGACTGGACTCCTGGAACCCATGCCACTCTGGGCCCTCCTACACCCTGTGCTCTACTCCAGGGGTGCCTGGACCAGAGGTGTAAAGGAAGCCCTTTTGTCATCTTGGCCTCCAACCAGGTATGTGATAAATATAATATCTGTCTGCTGTGTGCCTTTGGCCACTTTTATTACATCTGAAATATATTTTGCTGTTAGAACTGCATCAGTGTTCAAGGAAAAGTTTCAGCAAGGTGATAAAATGAAATGTTTGTCTTCTTACTTGCCTATGCAAAGCATTTCATTATAATGTATAGTGCCACATAACAACATTTTCTGAGAGCTCATTAAAGTGCTAGTTACGTATTAAACAGGTAGACTCCGCATCCTGGCCCGCAAGGTAACATAGCAGAGTTTTCAGTTACATATTAGCACCAAAAAAATAGGAACACAATCAAAATAATAAAACAAAGCAAAGCAGAGAAAAACATTTAGTTAAAGCTATCTTTTTTTCTTTTAAAATAGCTATAAATAAGGACCTAGGATCAGATAAATGTGTTCCTGTTAAATGCATGCATAGCAAGTAATGTGTAAGTTTATTACTTACAGGTATTTTTTATCCGCTTTCAGGGCCCATTCACACCAGCAGCTGTGCAACATCGCATGGCTGCTGTACGTGTGCCCAGCATAGGGCTGAAGCATTTGTTCGTGACACGTCACACTGTTTCCTTTTGGTTAGAACTTTATTGAAACGTCACAAGTTCTTGGGGACAGTGCGGTGTGATGCGGTTGTACTATGTCGCACTGCGCTACATCCCCCCTGCTCTGGGCAACCAGTGATGTCAGTGAGTTGGATGGGATGCCGGCCAGAGCTGGGTGGTGCACCACTAGGATGCTGGCCAGAGTGTGGTTAGTGACCACAAAGAGCCAATTTACCCAACAATGTGACCACCACCACCCCAAAACACACATTCCTCCCCACCTCAGGCCGAGATTATGCTAGGGACACCCCTGTCATTATCTACTGTTTCAAACAATCAAACAGCACTCTGCGCAAGAGAATTCGCCGGGTAAAGTCTGTGCAGAAACTGACACATCTGCGAGTGTTGATCTCCTGTGCTAACTGCTGCACTTAGGGGTTCCTCCCGCCAATCTCTACAGGACGCTGAGGGATATTCCACCAGCCGGAGCAGAGGATGGAGAGATGAGCATTGACTGCTGGGGGTGCGGGTATCAGGTAAGTAAAAGTGCTTTACTTCGGTCCCCTAGGGGTATACCAGCACTTAAACCTTGCCTCACTGCAAGGGTAGTTTTTTGGTTAGCCCAGAGATGGGCTTTAATATTTTGTGTGTTTACATATCGGACACTCTAGACTAAAATTCGTCTAACTAGAGTCCACCTACAACGTTCTTTAGAAAATTTGATGTGAGCAGATAAATATTACAGCCTTAATAAAGAGTTTTCACTCAAGTACCTTCAGTTTTGATCAACTGCTGACACATTTACATATATTTTGTGTTCTTAGAAGTTCTGTTTTGCATTTTAAGCCTACTGGTCTATAATTTGTAGCCATAATCCAAAAACTCTTATTAGGTGATACAGTGGGTGCTTATTAATGGCTAAGCCTGCTTTGTGATATACTCATTGTTCTAAGACAATCAGCAGAACTAATTTTGTTTTGTTCCGCTAATGCGTATCGATCGTGATTTAATAATGAAAATGTAAATACTGAAATGTTATGAGGTTAGGAGGCAGAATGAAGGAGTAGAATACAATTGGCCCGATATGTAGCCGTGCTGTGTGTCTGGTATGTTTGCTGAAGTACAAAGCCACTGAATGAAAATGCAGGATTTGTATTATGAGCTCTGGAAGAAAGATGAGTGAAAGGGCTTGGCTGGGAGCTTAATGCTGGATAACACACACATCATGAGCTGTTCCTACCATGAGGCTGGGTCAAAGTTTTGACTTAAAGGCCTTATAATAGGAGCGTCATGGGAAAACGTTCTCTTCTTAGCCTGCTGGTTCTCTACCTGCTACCTACTGCTATAGACATTGGGGAAACAGCCCAGGAATGCTACAATTGTTTGAGGCCTAGTGGCAGATAAGTTGTTCAGTGATGCTCTGCACATATGCATCTGCTTACATAGGGTACACAAGGTGCTGAGGCAGCCCATTAAGTGAAGAGGCCAAAGCATGACTGCCATTCCCATCCCATCATTAATAACATTATGTACATAATAAAGCAGCATTTCTATTTATTCTTTAGGCTTACAGAAAAAGAAGAAACAATATCAACATGTATTTACAGAAGCCTTAGAACTGAGCAGGACCTTCAAGGACCACATTGGACAAGATTGATATTGTAAACAGAGCAGAAAAAGGATAAGCTTTTACATACAGTATTTACTGTACAACCTGTTCTGTTTCATGCCACCTCCTCACCCTAGGGGCAAGTCTACAATTGTAAACAAAATATGTACATAAACACATCATGTTATTTGCTGCACAACTCTCATATGACAGTTTTCCTAATGGGCCTAATGGAT